CAATTGTTGAGAAAGGATTCCCCAAAATCCGTCTTCTAGCCGTTGTTCAAGAATTTAAGACTGTAGCACTTTACTCTGTTTGTCTTCTAGTGCTTGTTTAGGAATTCCGGGCAGGCTCTTTAATTTTTAGAGACCCAGACTTTGTCTTCGAGTAATTTGTTCTTGAATCAGCCTAATTATCTTCAATCTAGCCGTTGAAAATCAAGAGATTGATTTTTCCTTGCCACGGGTAGAATTTCTTCATTCAGGACTTAGATGATTTTCTAAGCTTTTTCTCACTTGTCCGCTTTCTGAGAATTTCGGTCTTTGGTGAGTCTTCCGATTCTTAGCTGACAAATCCGGATGAGTCTTTTTCAGACTTCCGGGTGAGAAGGAGATCCGCGCTAGTCTTCCTATTTGAATGACTTAGCCTTCAGCGGGTTGTAGCGAGACATCCGGTTCTTATGCAGTCTTCCAGATCTGAGGATTTTTATCTGATTGAGAAATCCTCACTTGTCTCTGACACTTCCGATTTAAGATATCCAATTTTCATATCACTGAAATTGATCAAGTCTTCAGGCATCAAAACGCTTAAAGAAATATCACAGTTTTATTGAAAACTCAAGAACTTGGTTTTAACAATATTTCTAAAAAGAAAAATTACATTGAATATTGGGGGAGACCTAAAGTCCCTATTACATTCTAAAAAAATCATCATCAAAATCTATAATATTTTTTCCAACAATTTCCCCCTTTTTGATGATGACAAACAAGTGTTTAAGAGTTCCGGTCGCTGTACTGAGAACTAATTGTATAACTTTCTTTTAGTTTCTCATAATATACAGCTTGTTAACAAAAACTCTTAAACAAATACAATTCAAATTACAATAATTCCTAAACCAAGTTTTTGTCTTGAGATTTTGTGATTTCTTCCGCCTTGACTTTTTTCAGCTTCAGCAGATTCTGCTTGGCTGAGCAGTTGGCGTTGCGTTTGATAGATCTTTAATATCCAAAGTGGATATTCAAGATCTTGGAAGCAACACATCTCTCAAAAAAATAGAGAGAGTGTTGTTCCAGAGAAGGTGTATGGTCTAATACTGAAAAATACGAGATTTCCACCATAGACCTTCTCTACTGCCGAGATTCTCACCATAGACCTTAAAAGTCTTTTCTTCTCAATAGGCTTCTTCCATTGCCGTCTATGAGGGTAAGAAAGAAAAGTTTCTCCATTGAGCATAATTTTCTTGGTGTATTCCTTAGACAGTGAGTTTGAAGACTTTTCATATTGAGAGAGTTGTTTGTGATGAAAGTGAATTGAGATATCTTGATTTAAATAGGGGAGGAGGAGTTTCACGGGTTCCATTAAGTGGGTAGTTGGAACGGTGAGAGTAAAGGAGTTTCAACTTCCAAGAAGTTGAAAAGTAAAAGGAATCTTTTACCAGTTACCAAGGAATTGAAACTGTTTTAATTAGAAAATCAGTTTCGATTGGTTTGAGAAACGTAACTGTTCTGGTTTGGCTAAGCCCAAAAGAGTGGCCCAAAAAAGAAAAGAAAGCTATGTACTAAAGGGAAATT